AACGTCAAAGTATCTAAATCAGCGTCACGTTTCTTCTTTGCTAAAAAAACTGGATAAAACCCATTTAAATTCGGGGATTTCATTGCACATACTTGAGTTTCCCTTTATTCTTCCATAAACAGTCGAGGAACCAATCTTGCACACACATGGGACCTTCTGAAGATTTATTAGTAAGTCATGGTCATTACTCTCACTATCATTCAACTAAATGGGCTATCATGGTCTACAGTAACATCGTATTTCGCAATTGCTAGTAGCTGTTTGTCCGTATGTTTTATTCTTCTTGAGGACCCGATCAAAAAAGCTTCCGCTTAGAAAACCCCCATTTCACTTGTATACTAAAAATCTATTGATATTTTCATATTTGTTTTCTTCTGTAGTAACTTAAAGTTTCTTTGGGCGGTATTACTACATATAAATCAAATTGAACTGCTCTCCGGTGTGCCGTGACATCATTAAAGGTCGCCATTTTTCGTGTGTTTCGTTTACCACTTTCCCATTTCAAATGCTCGGGAAACTGCCAAAAATTAAGCAAATGCCTTGAAATTTTACAAAAGACGACGTAATTGATAGCGGATTAAAAATAGGATAATTTTTACCTCAATTTTTTCTATTTAATACTTTTATTTCAAAATAATACTCGTGTATTCGCTAATGAAACCCTGATTATTATTTTTTTATCGTGCGCCGTAGGAACATACCCTGTGCACATTTAAGCATAATAAAATCTTTATATTTGTCTATATTTTATAAACAAAAAGAATTAAGATGTTCTTAAATATGATAAATAAACATTTGCTGAAAATTTCAGCTAAGTGCGCCCATTATTTTTTGAGAAAAACGATTTGTCCACGATTTTACCGGACAACCCTCGTATTGTACATTATTAGGGAGACCAGTGGTCTCCTTATATTGAACCTTCTTAGGAAGACCAGAGTTCACCTTATATTGTATATCATTAGATAGACCAGAGATCACATAAAATTGTATATGAATACGGAGTCCAGAGGCCACCTATATTGTACATTATTAGAGAGACCAGTGGTCACCCTATATTGTACATTATTTTGGAGACCAGAGGTCACCTTAAATTGAACCTTATTAGGAAGACCAGAGGTCACCTTATGTTGCACATTAGTAAGGAGACCAGAGGTCACCTTACCTGACATAATACATCATTAGGGAGACTAGAAGTCACATAAAGTATATATGAAAACGGAGACCAGAGGACACGTTATATTGTGCATTATTAAGGAGACCAGAGATCATCTTATATTGCTCATCATTAGGGAAACCTAAAGTCACCTTATATTGTACGTCATTAGAGAAATCAGAGTTCATCTAATCTAGTCTCCACATTGGTGTCCCCTGGTTACTATTTTGGATACGTTTGTCTCCTTATTGATATACCATACTAGATGACCTGTCTTCTCCGTATTGATATGGTACATAATTACTTGTACATCATTCCGTACACAGATAGATGCTTACTCATATGCACCTGATAACATCTCTTGGATTTAGGGATCTGTGTTTTATACCCTGTTCCCATATTTCCCTTGTTAATAGGATTTTGTAGATCGATCCATGTTTTGACCTTTTTTCATTGTTCAGCATATGTTTGTAGTTGAACATCAGTTGTGAAAATTGTTTGAAAATAAATTCCAAGATATTAAAAAATCCAGGTGCAAACAATTTCTTAAACGAGGCGGATTCTTGACAGATGGGTTGATGAAACAGGGATGACAAGGATCTACTTTACGTTCATCATTTTGCAGGTTCTATGGTCGATACAATGACATTGCCGGGAAATACAGTCTTTCATTAAGTCGAATTCTTGCTCACGTTTTTCGTGCTGGTTGTTAAACTATTATTTAAACACTGAATTTTCAACGAATTTTTCCATTTATCATGACAGTGAGCACATGGCGGTTGTAGTCGGTCGGCGGGTGTTGCCGGTCGGCTTGCTAATCCTTGGCACCTGGTTCCGCCGCTGATGATTTCGTGTTTGCTCTGCTCCAAATTAATATTGTTTCAATGGACTTTGAATTTGATAACTGTTCGTAATCTTCATTACCTTCATATTTCATTATTTGTTTTATGCTATAAAAGAATGAAAGTTGTAAATCTTTGTTTATGTAAGGTAAAAAAGAAAGCATAGAGCGAAATAAGTAATTTTTTCTTCACATGCTGAAATGTTCAGATGCTTATTTTCATATATGTTGCCTTTGATTTTGAAAAGTCTTTAGCAAGGTCCAGTTTCTTAAATGACTGATGATGATACCGAACGAATAAAGAAAATTAAAAAAAAACTCATTTCCCATTGTGCACTTTCTAACAAAACTACAAATAGCCGGCTGCTCCAGCGGCCGATAATAATATTGTTTTGAAAAAAAAGTTAAGCAATGAACATTTGTGAAAAAATTAACCTTATTAACATTTTAAAAATCCTGATCAATTTTAAACAAATAAAATTGTTAATTAATCAAATTTACTTATGAATCAGATCTACGAATATGTGCAATGTCAAGCTAGGATGCTTGAAAAATTATTGAAGGGGCACAAGAAAAGATTTTTCTTTATATTCTATAGAATATACAAGGGATGTTCAAGAAGTTTGCTAACTATTTCTATATTTACAAAACCACAATTCAGATCAGAATAAATACTCATACACATATTCTATAAATAGAAGATGTTATATAATGTTTTGTTCCGTGTTTGTGACGTCAAAATGTAAAGCTTGTGCCCGAGCAACGAACAGCTGTAAAGTTTAAGGTATATCAAGGAAATTCCTTTGCAGTAGAATATGATAATTTGTATAAGGTTTTATGAAGACAAAAGACTTACCAAAAGTTCAATCATTAATTGGATTGATTGTTTTAGTGAAGGCAGGGATATGGTTAAATATGAAGTTTGTTCTGTTCCCCAGCGAAAGCAGTTTGATAAAAAGATATGTCTTTAGTTGAGCAGTTGGTTTTGAAGGTTACAATTAGAAAAAATAGTTGAATATCTCAACAATAATATAATTATTAAATCCCTAAAATATCGTTTACTTTAGACTTAAAACATATGGGATATGAAAAATGCGCCCATGCTTTTTCCACATTGGATGAACGACTCTCTCGAGACAGAGGACTGGAGTTGTGATGGTCACAATGCGAATTCTGGGAAGGAATAACCTTATCCACCCATCCTGTTGCCGAGATTTGGCCATTTCTGACAGATGGTCTGTGCTTTTTATAAAAAAAAAAAAAAAAAAACCTTGCATGGTAAGAAATATAAGACTCGGAAAAATCTCTTAGCTTCTTTTCACGTTTAAGAAATCTAGTTACTGTGCGAAGTGTGTTGACTAATAACATATACTCAGCTGGAATATAACCTGCTATTCGCTTCAGGAAGACGGGGAAAATTTCTGAGATCAAGGTAATATCAGGGTTCTCCACAAGGAGTTTTACCTTGGCGGCCCGCCATGGTTAAATCTATGTGCGACATGGTTAAACGAGTTGCGCCAAGGTCAAAATTCAAAATCAGCGGCTACCATGATTCAATTTTTATTGCATTTCAGTATTGAAATCTACTTTGTAATGACTTGAGTAGTAAATTATGTTTATACTACGACTGACATGCACCTCTCTCTTGAGAGAAAGCGGACTGCATGTGCTAAACAAACACGACGGCCATTGATCATCGAATATAAAAAGCGTGACAATTGAGAGTCAATCAGCTGTTGATCATTATCATGAGTGTTAATTTTCCTGTATACATATAATTTGGGGGAATTCCAACAGGTTCACTATATAATAAAAGATTTACAAAAAAATAAGACAACGCAGTTAGTAACCATATGTCTAATGGTAATCGACGAGCATCTGAATCAAAGCTATACTGCGGCCAGAAAGAATTCACCCTTTGAAAATTCCTATTCACTTGTATTAAATCAATTCCTTTTGTTCTGTTCTTAAATATGTTTTGTATCTTTCTGATAAAATCTGTATGAACGCCAATCACCAAGCCTAAGTTTAAGAGTTACCTCCCGTTTTTATGGAAAAACAACAGGTATTAAATAAAGTTGCTGAGATGAAAAAGATAACATAATTTCTTTTAATAATGAAATTGGTATTTTTCAAGTCTTCACAAAAACAGAAAGGGTGTATTACTAGTAGCTACTTCTTCCTCTAAATTAACTGCAGTCTTTGGACAGAGCTTTTCTTCCTGCTATTCATGTAAGCCTGTAATACCTGTCAGTAGAAATGCAATTGTTCTTACAGCAATGATAAAATTTAACTGAGAGCACTTGTAAACGCGGAATTTCATCTGATAATAATAACAAAATTCGATGCCAACCAATTTAACAATTTATTTAATCTTGGAACGACCTAAAAAGGTATTTCTTTCTATCAATGTTGTTGTGTTCTTTGATTTTATTTATGATTTAAAGAAAATCGTAAACATGTTTATCGATTTAACGGATTGCTGCAGCTCACTACTCTCTGGAATACAGTCCTGATTAAAAACAATGTCGCAATATATTTTTTATACATACTCAAAGAATACTCATGGAAAAGTTTCTTTTTATGTACACATGAATCAGTATCTTCATAAAAAGAAAATGATAAAACAGAAACACTTCTCATTCATTTATTATGACTACGACTAATTGTTCTCTTCCAAAATTAGGGCACATTCAAAGAGAAGCAAAAGTTCACAATGTAACGTCACATTGTTTAAGGTATTAATTATATTGAAAAACTTCTCAATATTAGAAGGAAAACGTGTCCTTTATAATAGTTCACTAGGAATTTTCTTCTTTTTTCCTCTCAGCTTATCATATATGATCCAACAAATGCAAACTATGCAAGAAAAGGCAGCAAGAAACTGAAAGTAAAATTTTATTAAATTTCAGTGTAGATCTATATCTTTTACAGTGATATGAATTTATGAGAACTCTGCTCAATAAGAATACCAGTCAAAAACTAATTTAAATTAAAGAATGTTACTTTTGACGCTTCCATGATAATGAGACCAGTAAAAAAATCATCAACTTCCTTTTCTGTCAAAGCCTCGTCATTTAACTTCTTTACACGTGCAAAGCAACTCTGGAAAATAGTTTAAAAATGCGACAATTAGATATACTTTGATGAGGAATTATTTATACTCATTGTTTTGAAAAGATAATTAATTTTTCATAGACTTTAAAATATAACATCACTAATTATATGGCATCAATTAGATTGAATATCATTGTTCATACATGTACCATAGGTAAAGTCATCATCTTTTTCCCTGACATCACAAATAAAAAAAATACTGTTGTCATTTATATGATGCCATTTTCTATTCCAAAATATTAAGTTTTTTCCCAAGAAATTGTTACAATACAGGGATTATCAAAAATTGGCATAAATAATTTTACTAAAACAGGTATTAGGTAATCCGAATTTCCTCTTTTTCCTGAATTATTTAGGGAATATCAGTTATTTTACATGATTCGTACATTTAAATTTTTCTTACCTTCAAGTTTGGTAAAGTAGTCATTTAAAGATACAAAAAATCCTTTTGCTCTTCACTAACAGGGAAAAAAAAACAACACTTTTATCTTTTTTTTTCCTTTTTCTCAAATCTATACTTAGATTGGAAGTTTTTAAAAGCTAAAATAAATATTAGTTTATTTGTAAAATTATATCTATTTGATATATTTTTAAAATTTTAGTCAATTTTTATTCATTTCAGTTACATTAGAATTTTTAAAAATCTTTGATTATTTAAAAACTTTAACTAGATTCATTAATCTGTTAAAGATTCTGTGAAGATTTGTTCATCAATTCGCCATAAATAGAGCCCCTGCTAGATTTTAAACTCAGTTAACAGTTTTTATTTAAAAGTGAACAAATATAAGGAGGGGAGAAAAATATGATCCTTTAAAATATGACATATAAGCAAATATACTTTGAATATTTCATTTAGCCAGAAACCAGTCAAGAATCCCTCCTTACGAAGATCTCGGTAGTATCATTTATTTGTAGCTTGAGCACTTAAATCATCTCCTTTGAGATTATTTAATGTATTTAAAAACCCTTGAACGTGTGCAAGATTCCTTGTAACAGAAATGATATTAGTAGTCTTATTCATACATATTACGTATTACTACAAATAGTATTTGATGCAGATTATACAGAGATATATATATTAAATGTACACTAATTTTGTCCAAATAAAAACCAAATACAAAAGAAAACAATGATTTGCTCGTAAAGATGCAATTAGTTAGTAAGTGTCAAAATACAGTTGATGAAATGAATAATTTAAATTATAACGTACTTATATTAGGAACTTGACTTTTTCTTTGATTTACCAGTTTCCAGCAAAATTTGAACTTCAAAAATGCAGAACATTTCAGTATCTGTGTCATGATTAAAGACTTTGATAAAACGCTTCATAAAAAAGCTCTAATATGTGTAGCTGTTAAATGTTGATCACATAATAGCATTGAAAGGTTAAATCTTTTTTGAGAGGCAATGTACTTGGAATGCTAAATGTACAGGTATAATCGTCTCAGATACTTAGTGGGTCTTAAAATGGGTGAATAAAAAAATAATGACCACCAAATTGAATTTCTTTTTGAAAAGTTTTAATATGAAAGAAATATGAAACAATAAATTCCCCCAAAATCACTTCTTTTGTCCATTAAGAAATTTTGATATACATGATTTTTTACGTCCTGTTCGAGGATTTTTCACTCACATAGAGACGTCACCATCTACCGGTGAAGGGCTTCAGATTTTGGCCTTTAATCGGCACTCAGGGCCATTGGGCAGTGGGGATTCTTTATCGAGTCAACGCCTACCGTAACATGTGGCCTTGGTTTTTAAGGTCCGATCCAAAGGACCTGCAACCTTCACTTCAAAGTGCCAAGCGCTTGGCGATGGAATAGTTGCTACCTTTTTTATCGACTTAGGTCAGTCGCGGCCGTGATTCGAGCACACGACCTTCCGATCACAAAGCGAGCGCTCTACCCACTGAGCTACCTTGTCGGTATTTTATTATTAAAGTTTTCTTACAAAAATACTATATTATTATTTTACCTTAGTCTGTTGCATATCTGATATGTATTTCATAATTTTTTTTTTTTAAATTATAACACACCATTATTCATTCCAAGTTTCAATCTAATTAAAATTAGATGTTCCGAATCCGCTACCGCTTCTCAAACATCTAACAACATCCCATTCTGGGTCACGTCAGAGCGACCTTTCGATTATGAATAAACATAAAAACTTTGGCCAATCAGATTCAACCTTCTGTATACAATTCTAAAATTAGTTCCACGGCTACATCTTTACATTATTGATGCTCAGTAGACTGTCTTACGTTGAATTAAAGTAATTTTAGTATAAATTGAACGTATAGTCCGCCAATCTGACATTCTTACCTGAATAACGCAAACGAAAATGCACAAACTACTGTATATCCCGCACGTCACATTCATATATATATATATATATATATATATATATATATATATATATATATATATATATATATATATATATATATATATATATATATATATATATATAGCACGGTCTTTACCATGCATATTTTGTTTACTACGAAACCCCTCGGGCGTTTAGGTTTGGCATTAAAAAAAAAAGAAAGAAACGCATCCGAACTATAAGGCAAGATTTCGGCGACGGCGATTTCATTGGGTGATCGAAAGATCGCTCTGACGTGACCCCGAATGGGATGTTGTTAGATGTTTGAGAAGCGGTAGCGGATTCGGAACATCTAATTTTAATTAGATTGTCCAAGTTTCGTCGTATGGATATTTTTTGATTATTTTTTAAGTGTTTCACATTTTCCACACTTCAAAATATGATTATTTGCTTGTGTGATATATATTTAAAAATAGATGTTTAGTGACGAACTCTATTCTGTGAATTGACTGTAAAATCTCCAAACAATATCTGTATTTTTTATAGATATAATAATTTGTACTACAAATAGTATCAAACATTTTCTGCAATTTACTTTTTTAGTAAGGATAGATGAAGTTTATTGATAATTATGAAACAGTTTTGTCGTACTACTGACTGTAGTAAAATTTAAAATTAAAACCATAGAACACAAAAATTCGTAAAGTGTTGGCAACATCAAGTTGTAACAAAATTGTGCAATATTTATGGTCGCAATATGGATAAAAAATATAAAATTGTGTAAACTTGGCTTTATATCCCACAAACTAGCTAAAATATTTTAAGAAGATAAAAGTACATTTTATTGGACATTTTACTTCATGTCAAAATTTGCAGCTCTCCACCGGCAAGTGGTGGCGTCTCCATATGAGTGAAAAATTTTCGAGAGGGACGTTAAACAACAACAAACAAACAAACAAACAAACAAATACGTAATGTGGCTATTTTAAGCACCGAATCAAATGCGAGTATTTTTTTCAAAAATAGAACGACGTCACAGATCGTTCCGATACATTTGTCCACAGTTTGTACATTTAGTAATACCTTCCTTGATTATGCAATTTTACAATAAGGACCCAGGGACGGTTTTAGTCTTACAATAATTTTTAACTAAGGTGCTTCTTTAATAAACAGTAAGTTTTTTCCCCTAGTGATCAAAGATTTGCAGCGACATTCTGGGTTTTTGGCATTATATTTTTATCCCAAGTCTATTTTATTGATTGTATGTCTGTTTATTATTTGTCATTTAATTGATTTGTTTTGAAATAATAACCATTCTTATTCCTTTTATTTATGTGTTACTGTTAGAATTTCATGAAGACTGTCAAACACACATAAAGGAAATTGATAAAAGAAATGTCTAAACCTTGTAAATTAAAAACAAAAAGAATTGAAAAATAAATAAAGAAATCGAATTAGATTGTACACAGCACAGTTCTACCTTATCCTGGACATTTTTATTTAAATTACATGTCATGTACCTACGTACCATATATAAAGTCATTTTTCTGCATTTGCTAAGAAATAAGCTAAGCAAAATTCCAATCTGGTGAGAGGGAAAATGATATTTAACCATTTGCTTAAGACTTTAGAATTTTTTGTGCATTCGAACCTTGCATTTCTATCTATTTTGAATAATTACAAAAATAAATAATTTTTGACTTAATACGTTGAGTACTGTGATTTTCTTAAGAGATAATTTTCAGTCATATTTACATCTTTATACGTTCCAGAGGTGACTGTAGCATGACAACTAGCTGCTGCATTTATGTAATCATCCTCAGTGACATCTTTACAGCAGGCTTTCGGAATCTGGGAGTTCGTCTGTTGACAGGATCCGGATGTCGTACACCAGGGGGTCGTGTCAAAGTCGTTAGTTGTGCTTGTAACTTGATGTACAGAACAACAATCGTACTACATTCATATAAAAAAACGCATCAATAACTTGTGTTGATTAAGAAAAAAAGAAACATGTAATCTGGCCAATGGTTCCAAAGATATTGGCCTAATTAGACAACAATTTAAACAACGAGGTTAAAGCTTACATAGTATAAGGTTAGATTTCATAATACAAAACATTCGGATTAGACATGTTTCACAGAACCTTACTTTGCAATTCGTGAGGATTCGGTTTTTAATTAATTAAAAAATAAAAAAGCATTTCTATAATCCATTTTTAACGTCATACGCAGCACTATTAGGATATTCTTTGAAGAAATATGGAGAAAACGAGCAGTAAGGACAATTAAAATTCCATTGAAACGATACAAATCGGGAACTGAGAAAACACGAACCTATAAAAATCTGAGAGGTAGGATTAGGTGCAATGGAGGAGTAAGCATACCCTGACACATCCGCTGTGTGTTCTTTGTCATGGTCGGGCAAACGAAAAAAAAAATCATAGACAAATCAGTGTGTCAATAATGGCCGTACGATTTCTATTAAAAACGTAAGTCAGCACTCGACCTAACAATAGATTGTATTCGCTGATAAGGTAATTTTATCGACTCTAGAACATTTGGGAAATGTTGAAATTAAACAAAACTGTTAATGTTTTTGTTTCATCAACGTGTCTGCCAATAGCTTGTCCGATTTTTAAATTTATGAATAGATGGAATAGATCTATGTACAAATAGATAACTTTTTATACTGAATTTATTTCTGTTAAGCAATTTTATTACCTCGAAACTTTAACAATATTTAAATAACATTGTGTACTCCTTTTTGTATTTAGTTAAGTTTGGTCATCTGCTTTGACATCGCATAATAAATGCGTATAATGTGTACTATATGGAGATTATATACAATTTCAATCCTGCAAAGGCACATCCTGATTTATATTAAAAGTTAAGGTGATAAATTACTTCTACTTCATGGTATCTAAACAAGGCCAAATATAGATGGAAATTGCAATAACGGTCCTGCAAATATTTTGAATTTACATATTTATTTGTATGCACTATGCTAAGAACATTAGAAAGACATTTTATCACCTTAACCTGATTTTTGTCGAATGGAGCTATTTTAAATTATGGACCATTTTTCGTAGTTTTATACACAATCATATGCTAAACCTACACTCATGTGCCAAATTAAAAAAGTCACAGCATGGCTGACTCACGTGTCAAGTATCACAGTCACACATTTTCATTTCCATCTTTTACTAATGGGAAGATACTTTGACCCAGAACATTTTTACCCAAGCATAAATTCAGTTGTCACCTACTGACTGATCAAAGGGAGGTATGTCTTTGTTTACAAATAACGTTGTCGTCTGCAGAATATAAGCAATGGGTGCATGGGGAGAAGATTTGAGAGATGAGCAAAAAAAGTTGATCCTAAAACTCAAAAGCGAAGGTAACAGTGGTGGAAAAATTGGGGAAATATTGGGAATTATTAGATTTATAGTGTGTCATTTTTTGAAAAAGAATGAAAACCAGAAAAATATCAGTTTATCAAAAGGAAGTGCAAGAAACACAAAATGTGGCAGAAAAAGGAAGAGTAGTGAAAGATCAGACAGAAAACTTTTAAATATTGTAAAAGTTAACCGGAGAAGGACTTTATCAGATATTTCTAATCTGTATAATGAAAATACACCACAGAAGCTATCCAAACGCTCAGTTCAAAGAAGATTACATGAAAATGGGTATCACAGGAGAGTAGTGAAGAAGACCACCACCATTTCCAAACAGAATAGACTGAAGCGCAGAATCCTTTACAGATATCATTCACACTGGACTGTAAATCGCGATTGGGCCCGAGTTATATTCTCTGATGAAACTCTAATTGTTTTGGGAAAAAACAGAAAAGTTTTTGTTTGGAGAAAAAAACGCAGGTACGTTAAGGTTTCCCAGAGAATATTGCAGTGTACTCTGTGCCTTCACTTCTCTGAACTACAAATATATGACGTCATAATTGAAAATGACGTCAAGTCACTGCAAACTTGAGCTGTTATGATGGGGAGAGTGTCATAAACTTTACACCTTATTTCAATCTGCATATAAAGTGTCGGGAAGGTAGTGTAAAATAAACGTGTTTTAATCTTTTTTAAAAATCTTATATATCCGAATATTTTAGATAACTTTGCTTTATTACTTTTGTTTAAAAGTCAGCGTGTTCAAAATATATACGAAAATATATGTTTTGACATTTACCCTTTTTATACCCTGGATAGAGGTAGAATTTATAATATGTGTATAAAAGAGCCTGGCGCAGGTGATTAATGAGGATTTATTTGAGATCTTTTGTGGAAATCTGTAAGAGGGGTTTCCCCTCTAACTGAATCTTGCTTGGGAAAAATGTGTGATGGCTTTGTTTTAATACAGATGACGATATTGAGTGGAAAATACCCTCAAATTTGTCGGTAAGTTGAATTTATTGTGAAATATTTTGTACCAGAGAAATAGTATAACTTTTCCCAAGCACATTTCTGGTTCACAAGGATGCGACTTCATTTATGTGACAAAAAGTTAATAATAATTGTGTTAATCACCTGCGCCGAAGCGATTCATGTGAAACACTTCAAAAAAGTAGAAATGACCATCACGTGATCAACGAGGTCATGTGATATCGTAACAAATACGTTTATATATAGCCTAGAGAACTCTCTATATCAATTGGCCGTACTTAAGTTCATAACTTACAAATAAAAATGAAAATTGGCCTTGCAATGCTGTGATATTTTTTGAACGCATTTAAAGCTTCGGGAAGCCTTAACATTGCTGCGAATGAGGAAAAATGAAAATCACGCCATATTGGAATTTACAGTGACCAACAGACTCCACAGCTAAGTGTTATGTTTTGGCACATTAACACCTATAGAGGGGAATATTAACTCTAGGAAGTACACTGAAGTTCTTGATGCAAATCTTTGGCCAGTTATTGCCAAATATGAACAGAACAGACCATACATCTTTCAGGAAGATAATGCACCAGTCCATACATCTAGAGAGGCTTGTAGGTGGAAAACTGAAAATGGCATCAACACCATGAATTGACCCCCACAATCTCCAGATATTAACATTATCGAAAATGTTTGGAGAACTGTGAAAATAAAACTACAAAAACGGATTTCTCAAATAAAAACTAGACAGGACCTACTTGACAGTGTTTTAGAAATCTGGACCTCTCTAACTCCAACGTACATAAAATCTTTGTAACAATCCTTACCAAAGCGAGTCAGAGCTGTTCTGGCAGTCAACGGATGATTACTAAGTACAGGAATTTTGGGGTAAGTACCTTTATTAGATTTAGAGATATATGGCCGTGAACAAAGCCAATTATTTCGGCTCTACATATCACTCCAGCCATTTTGTGAGTTTTTTAAATTTGGAACGTGATTGTATTTAATAAACAGAGGAATTGACCACTTAAAAGAAGACTAAATAGTGCAAGATAACGTCATACCTAAAACCGCGTTTTGCACCCTCAGATGTTTTTGTTTGATACATTTTGTTTATTGGCTGTCATGTTGAACGCGCTATTAATATCATCGTACATTGTGGTATTCATTGCTACATGTATGTGTTGTCTACTGTGTATGAATTTTCTGATTTTTTGTTCAATGATATACATGTTTGTACCCAAGTACTCCCCTTCCCTTATCCCAATTTTTTTTCCTGCACACAGCAATAATCACTTTAAAGGTATTACTAAACCATAAACTGCATGACATTGACTCTCGGACAGCTAAAAACGATATTTTATCTCTGGACTTGACTTTGAAATGCATGAATGGGTAATACTTGATGGGTATTGACAAGGGTAAGAAATAATTGCAAGTTCATATAAATGAAATTAAAGGTGGACAAATTTGAGAGTTTTGACACAAGAAGACAGATTACTCATCAAAAAGGACCCCCCCCCCCCCTAGAGGTGTTACATTTCAACAACTCCCCATTGGTGCAGCTAAGATTCAACTTAAATTTGGTGAAGGAGATAAATTTACATTTTACACTTAAAGAATCTTTACTTTCACCAAGGTATTTTACCCCATCTGCTTTGTATCTGTCAGATACCCAACCCTAACGTTAACTCAGTTAAACTTCCTATTTTTAGTGGGAGTGAACCACAACAAAAAGGTGAAGTAAGTTTTGAAGTGTGGTCTAACGAAGCAAGGTGTTTGAAAAATCAATTATGGTACCTGAGCATGCTTTATTACATTCTGTCAGAATTTCTTTAAAAGGTTTAGCCAGAGAGATGCTTATTCCTCTCGGAGAGTTTGCTGATGTCAATAACATCCGAATAAAGCTGGAAGAGTTGTATAAATGTCAACACTGCAGAGAAAATCATAGAGGAATTTTTAAAGTAATCATCAAAAAGAAGCATTTTTGCTTATGATTCAAGATTAGAATTAAACTGTATCTAAAGCTGTTAGACTTGGTCATGTAGATGCAGTAGGAAAAGATTCAATGTTAAAATCAAAATTGGTCTCGGTTGCGAAATTCCCAGCTGAGAAATGCTTCTAGGAATAAGTTTGAAAGTTTGAAACTGAAGAATTTCAGACTCTTTTAAGAGAAGTTGACAGATAGAGCAAGAAGACTTTAAGTAAACAATTGCTAAGCCAGATCAGATATGTGTTGTATCAACAAAGCTGAAGCATTAAATACATCAAACTGATTTGCAAAAACAGCTTAGTGAATTATTCAGTCAAATAAAAAAAAATACTTGAGGTTATGAGTAAGATAGAATAAGATCAAAAGAACTTATCTAATGCAAGAGCATAATCTTTTCAGAGGCAAACACCTCAAGACACTTCCAAAGGCAACTTCAGAGGCAACTTCAGAGACAGTTACCAAGGCAGCAGAGGAAATTTCCGGTATCAGAACTCAAGAGGAAGAGGAAGTGCCTCACAGCAGTATGGTAATAAGAGGTTATGGTAAATGTAAGAGGAAATGATTTAAACTAGCATCATC